TCTCCTTTCCTGGCTCCTCCTTTTCTACCTTTTTCTAATATGTTGTGCTTCCCAAAGTCTCATCCTAGGCTCTTTTCTCCTCTAGATAAATATACATGTTCACCCTAGGAGAGTGATTCAACTTCATGGTTTTAATGACAATACATTAACAATCCTAAATTCACCATTCCAGCCCTTATCTGTGCTTAGGAAGGAATTCTCAAACCACAAGTAAATTACCTAAATGTTTGAAGTGTTTGTTTTCTCCTTGGTGAAATAGGTATAAAGCTATCTGCCTTTCAGAGTTACAATAAAAATTACATAAATATCTAGCATAGTGCCTGACATACAGGTGTTCAATATGTATTAAATATTAGTGTGCCTGCTTTTATTCTCACTTACTATACATACATACAACTTCTTACCAGAAAACTCTACCAAAACCCCTTTCCTTCTAGACATTTCAGACTCAGTTTTTGTAATATTAAACTCACTTTTCTCCCAAACTGATTTTACTTTTTTATTGAGCTATAATTTACATGTAACAAACTGTACACATCAAAAGTACACAATAATCTGTACATGTTTATACACTTATGTAGCCCATTACCACGGTCAAGATATAAATTATTTCAAGCACCCCAGAAACTCCTTATGCCCCCCACCTTACCCCATAGCCACCAAAGGTAACTACTATCCTGACATTCTCCATTCAGTATGACTGTTGTTGAACTTTGTAAAATGGAATCATATGATATTCCCTCATCAAACTTATTTCTAACTGTTCCCTTTCTGGCGGTAAGTGGCCCCACCACTTACCCAGTACCCAAGCCTGGAATCACTCCTGATTCTTCTTCTTTCTCCCTTCCCCCTATTCACCAAGCAAGTTGAGTACAGTAATATACTATGGGTCCTCAGATCACTGCTGGGACTGCCTTAGCCTCATCTTGGACCATCCAGCCTTCCCATCCATGCTTTTAGCACACTGAACTATAATGCAACCCCTAACCAAGCAGCTCACGGAGCAAGCCTTACGCTAATTGAAGCGTTGATTATCTACTTGTTTGGATGTCTTCTTCCTTAAACATGTGAGAAGCCCTGTTATATCTATCCTCTTGCCCTGTGCCTAGCCCCATGTTTGGTGTAGGAGAAATGTTTGTTAAGTCTCCCTGCCTACACACATGACGCTCGCCTCCGGCACCATCCAGCATTATGTGGGCTGGTCTGTGGGGCTCTGAGGACCTGAGTATATCTTAAGGTCCCAATCAACCGACCTGGACTTGTGGCCTCCTGGTCCTGTGGTCACTGTGTATATTAGGGTGCAAGTGTTTGCATGAGGATGCTAGTCCTGTGAAGTGGGGGGGTCTGTGGGCCTGCAGTAGTGTCCTGGCGAGGCGCGTCAGGGAGAAGGTGGTGGTCAGGGTGCTCTATCTTGCATGCTTCGGCCGGGAAGCGTGTTTCTGCTCCATGAGGCTCTCTGTGGAGATCCCGACTGCCCAGGGATCAAAGCGGTAGGATTTTGGTCCCCACAGATGCCGGGTTCCCGGGGTCCCGACATCCCATCCTCACATAGATCTCCTCTGTGCAGATGGTGGAACCGCCTCTAGGAGCCCGGGGAGGGACTCTGGAGCTGCGCCCACGATCCCGCTACCGCTTACAACTGCGCGCAAGGCTCAACGGCCCCACCTACCAAGGGCCCTGGAGCGCCTGGTCAGACCCCGCCAGTGTGGAAACAGCATCCGAGACTGGTGAGCGCCGGACCGCCCAAAGCGCCACTGCGGCTGCGCGAGGGGCGGGGCGGGGCCAGGGCAGCGCCTCGGGTG